GAATATGCCCAGCTGGAATATTAAGATTTAAGCCATAGCACTACTTTTAATTTAAACTGCATCTTGATCGTCGTCATTTCTCTTAAGGAAGAACGCGAGAGAATATTAAAGAATCCTCGAAGGTCCACTGATATCAGGAGACTAAGCACGTTCCGTGAGTCCATATCGGTGACTTCAAGTCTTCGGCGCGGTTCCAGACTACCCGGTGTTGAAGCCAACCGGCGACCGTCCCGAGCTCCCTCTATTTTGGCTGATGATATCCTGACAACAGGAATAACAGCAAAAGGTATAAACGTGTACAGTAAAATGTATAAAAGTATGATAAAGGTCATACAGATGTCTATGAGGTAGTGGCTTTTATAAGGATTAAAAGGAAGAAGAATTAAAACAACATTGATAATCACTTGTCGAGTAGTGTTATCATTAAAGCTGGCAGCCATTACTATATGACCTTGTAGGGAAAAAATAAATTAGCTACCAGTATGGTGAAGTTTTCTTATTGCGTCTGACAGGAGATTAAAATTTATAAGAAATACGCTTACATGTGAGATTGCTGTCCTCAGCTAGGGTTATGGAATGTACATCAAGTTTATACTGATTTAATTTGAATAAAATCCTCTTGAAACTGCACTCTCTTCCTTAACAAATAAGAAACTCGAAACAGCTTAACAACAACTTAGCTTTTTTATATATTTTCTCTACCAAAGCCATGAAAAATGTCGAGGTATTGAGCGCTTATGCGGAAGAAGATGAAGAAGACCTAAACTCTGAGGTCAGAGACGGAAACCTGACTCTGCAGGTCCCCTCAATCACGGTCCACCCATCCGTAACAAGTGACGAGGAAAGCAGTAAACCGGCAAAGGCTGGAAAGGGGAAGAGCAAGAACGAGAAGCATTCCCATGCTGCCGGAGACGAGGCATCTACCACTGATGAGGTGACGATTGAACAACCAAAGAAAGACGATCATCATGGTCACTCCCATGCGGTAAGTGCCAGAAGATAACGCACTGAATTTACTATCCCCCGTACGTCTTTTGCGCTTGGCTGGCACACACAACAAACAAATGTCTAAACGTGTCTTATTAGGCGTCTAGGGTATTCGAGGGTACTTATGTTTTTTGTATAACAATACGTTTTATTAGCTTCATTTTAAATGTAAAGAATAAGATAATCTACTTTTGCCTGTGGCAACGGTCACTATTAGGTGTACATTAGAACTTGTGCACGAAAATACAGTACGGTGGAAAAATCGTGCAAAATGCCGAAGTTTGCGAAAGATTGATTAGTGCTCGCAAACCGGCATCACCGCATGTATGAAAACTTAGGAATACTATCGAAAAACCCTCGGCAGATTGGGAAATTGAAGTAACTATAAGAATATCTGATTACGCGTCGCCCGCATGGCGGGGTCGTTCTTTTTGTTTTCAACAAATCACCATCAGGCACCACATTTGCAGGCGTAATTAAAACTGTACAGTTAGACAGGGTTAATAAATGTAGTCTGATTGCACTTCATCGTTTACGCATAGCCCGCACGGCGGGGTCGCCGTGAAGTTCCTCTGACGTTAAAATAGCTATAAATTAGAACAATAAGTTTAACTCTTTCCGTTAACTGTATGGATAACCTTACAACTTTCTTTGTATCAAAATTGCACTTTTATATTCAAAATATTTTACACATATTGTGGTTATTTAATTACAATCACTTACAGACTGACCTTTAAATTCCGACAAGATTCCCTAATATTTTCTGTGCTCTCAAGCTTTATTTGACAAAGGTAGATTCAGTTTGATTTTCACATAAAAAACTTTAAAATAAGATATATATTGGAAGTATTTATCGACAAAACGAGCTTCTATATATTAGTTCTTATAAAAATACTATGTGGGCCGTATTTATAAGTTCTTTCAAAGAAAACAGCACATCGTCAAGCAAAAATAACGTCCGCAACAGAAGTATCATATTATTATGCCTAAGCTAAATACAATCAATGGATAAAATATGTAACCTCATCAAAAAGCACATTAATTAGATATTCAGTTGAAGAATATCGGTGCATGTTTCCCTTTTTCCGAGATAATGTGGAAGTGAAAATGGAGACACATTTTTTAAATTTACCTACAAATAAAGGCTACAGTTTGACTGGAAGTAAAAACAGATCACATTTCTCTTTATATTGGAGTATCTCCCACCATAATGTGTGACTACCAGTTTCTGATCTAAGTTTGCGATTGCAAAAAACAGTGGTCAAATACATACTAATATTTTCAAATAATTCTTATTCTTCCGTCTGTTTCATTTCTAACTTACGCCTAAGAGAAACTTATAGTGTTCAAAAAGTATATTTCTGCATGATTTAGGTTTAATAAGATTTCGTTCTACCCCCATCTCCGCGATACTGTATGGGCAGTTTTGATCACGTCCCAAAAGGTTGATGCGGTAAAACAAAATACGGCCAAAACTTTTTTACTGCATTTTTTAGCGAAAACCTTCACACATCAGTAAAAATAACCGACAAACTGAAATTGTTCTTTGTTTCTGAAAAGGAATGCGATTTCCTGAACTTAGCCTCACTTGCATTTGAGCAACTTCGGACTCAGTTTTCTGGGTCTGGAATGGATATGTTTTGAACTTATTATGGGGTACTTCAATAACACAATGCATCAAATAAAGGGTTTGGATATGTCGTACTTAATAGCATAGGAAAATTCTTGGATACCAGGCTACTCCAGATTTAACCAAAATAAGTGCGTATTACCCTCAAGAAAATGAACTAAAAAGGCAGTTTTAGTGACTGAGAGGCTTTCTGGTGATTAAATCCACTCATTGGAATAAAATAACTTGGCTTAATATATGCTTAAATACCAAGTCAAATTTAATCACGACTTTTGCAGGAATTCTCAAACAAATACCTAATACTAACTAACTAATAATAACTAATTAGACTAATAACTAATACTAATAATAGGGCATATATACTCAGTTCGTTGCTAATTCTCACTTAAACTCCACCAGTTCCTTTTGGTATGGATGGGCCAAGTTGCATATGACCAAGCTTATATCTTTCGGCAATTCTGTAAGTTATGGAATCTAGCCACCGAAGGCTGCATATTTCCGTGCTCTCCATTGAATAGACAAGACGTGCAGCGTATGTCCAGCACAAGGCGAGACGCGCAGAAGAAGTCATGATTGGTCTTTGGTAACACACCAAACAGCAAAAACTCTAGTCATAGAGCCAGATATTTGTTACATTCCAGATGTATTATGGTTAATCTACGACTTAGATTTTAGGCTAGCGTTAGGTTTGAGTTTACGGTTAGGGTGCAGGTTAAGGTGCGAGTTCGTCGTATGGCGATGGTTAGAAGATTGGTCTATTTACCTTTGGCGTATTTCAGTGGAAGTCCACCTGCATTATTCGGGGCTTCATTGGTATTATTATAATACGTGAGCACACGTTATTTCCGAGTTTGGCGTATTTATTCAAGCAATTTGTCTAACAAGTGCATACCAACATCAACATGAGCTTACCGAAGTCGTCCCCACAGTAGTCGGTATCCGGCTCATATGAATAATTATACGGTCAGATGACATCCTTCCAGATTATATCTATTAAGACATGCTACTGT